CTTTTGAAACCAATTGAATGTTTTCCAGAGATGTGATGATAGCAAGAAATATTTTTCATTGATGGAATGATTAAAATGGGGTACATTTTACAAGAGTCACTGTTTTTTTGTTGTTGTTTTTTCTTTGATGGGAGACACTGTGCGGAGTAGTCAAGTTCTTTTTCTTTTTCCTAATGATAGTAATACAAGTGACATTAAAAGCTGTGCTGCAAATGGAGGAGAAAAAATGTGATTGTAGTAAGCACAGGGATCGAGCAGGGAGTGCAATGAGAAAAAAAATCAATTATGTTTCATGTCTGACATTTGGGGGGGATTCCCCCCCTCCCTAATTGCTTGTGTTGGTGTAACACACGGCTTGTTTGGGAATCAAATAACTGCGGAATTCATCTTACGGTGCTTTGGTATCCTAACTTTCAAAAGGGAATCTATTGGTGGGTCTCAGATTTACAGCAGGGGAGGCCAAACTTGCTTAATGTAAGAGCCACATAGAATAAACATCAGATATTTGAAAGCTACAAGACAAGAACAAATATTACATGTTTTTTGGGGGAAATATGCACATTTGCTTTTTATTAACATTAAACGAGACTGCCAAAAATAAAACAAAAGGGGTAAAAGCAGATATTGACAATGATGTTTATTTGTTCACTGATATTTGTTTGCTAATGATATTTAGCTTCCCCAGCTGCCCTGCTGGGAGTCGCACAATATGTGTGAAAGAGGTGTATAGTGATTCACCTGGTCTATAGTGATAATATCCAGGGGTCATTTTGTAGAAAAAGAGGTGCAGGAGCTCATTTGCATAACTCATTTGCATAACTACACCCCCTGATAAAGGGCACGCATGCAAGCATTTCTGGGCTCCCTACCTGATCTTCTCCTGGGAAGGGAACCCAGGCATGTTTAAAAGGCCTTTCTTTCCCTTCCCCAGATGGGAAAGAAAGGCATTTAACCCCCCCCCTTCCCCGAGTTTCTCCGCAAAAGCGGAGAGCCTCAGGGGGAAAAAGGCGGCATGTCTGCCTGCCTGCCCTTCCCTTCCCCAGCCAACCTGCTGTGGTGGGCTGGCTACAGAAGAGAAGATCGGGCAGGAAACTCTGCATGTTTAAATCCCCCCCCAATTCTCTGAGTTTCTCCGGGTATATAACCCCCCCACTTCCCCGAGTTTCTCCGCAAAAGCGGAGAAGCTCAGAAGGAAAAAAGGGCATGTGTACCTACCTGCCCTTCCCCTCCCCTGCCAACCTGATGGGGTGGCCTGGCTGGAGAAGGGAAGGGCAGGCAGGCAGGCAGACATGCCTGGGTTCCATGCCGGATCTTCTCCAGGTGCCCCGTGGCTGTGGGGCACCTGGACAAGATCAGGCAGGGAACCCAAGCATGTTTAGAATAATTTTCCCCAGATGGGGAAGGGAAAGAAAGGCATTTAAATCCCCCCACTTCCCCGAGGTTCTCCGCAAAAGCAGAGAGGCTCAAGGGGAAAAGGAGGCATGTCTGCCTGCTTGCCCTTTCCTTCCCCAGCCAACCCAACACCGTGGGCTGGCTGGGGAAACAATGGGTAGGCATGCAAGCATGCCTTGGTTTCCTACTCCTGGGCTTGTTACTCTTGGAATGCTGCTCTGTCTCGTTCCCCTCAAAATTACCCCTGATAATATCACCAAAATGACAGAAAACATAGTGTTCCTTCTAATATACAGCCGCCCCCCACATCCAGTTTCAAATGAATTCGACTAAGAGATTTGATTTTCCAACCCCAACCCCCAAAGAACAACCCAGGTGCAGTTCTCTCCACTGGTTTCTGTTGCACGGGCGGTGGGGGGAGGTCTCAGCCACTGCCATTATTTTTTGTTGCTGAAAACCCTACTTGCGTTAATTTCATTTTTCTACATTTTCAGTGGCTGAAAATGTATATTTTTTTCCGCTTGTTTCCCCTCAAAATGACCCCTCAAAGAACAACCCAGGTGCCGTTCTCTCCACTGGTTTCTGTTAGGTGGCGGGGGGGGGAGGTCTCAGCCACTGGCATTAATTTTTGTTGCTGAAAACCATACTTGCGTTAATTTCATTTTTCTACACTTTCAGTGGCTGAAAATGTATATTTTTTTACCTTCCCGCTGAAAAATCTGTGTTTGACATCATTCTTTGTTCTTTTCTGTTGTTCTTTCTCAAAATGAGGATGAAGGAACTTTTTCAGGGGGGATGGAGTGTCTGATTGTCAGCCAAATGACACCAATATTGCAGCAGAGCTGCTGTTGTTAGCCACTGAGTCGTGTTCGACTCTCGGTGGTTCTGTGGGCCAGATCTCTCTGTGTTTTCTGATTTCCTACAGAGCTACTTCTGCCTATTCACTAATCCCTCACCCCAAATTTCAAGTCAATTAGACCAAAGCATTCAACTGTACATCTCTCTACAAGGAAGCCTAGCTATCCTACTTGGAAAGAAAAAAGTGTTTCTAACCCTATAAAAGTAGGAGGGGAGAGAAACTGAAGAAGAACCTCAGCATTGTCATCATTTCCTATAGGAGACTTTTTAGAAGGGTGGTGGTGGAATAGCTCTTTTCCATCCAAATGTCAACAGTATTGCAGGGGAGCTAATGCTGCTTTTCCACTAAAGAACCCTCTAGTTCCAAGCAAATTGGACCAAGGGTTCCAGTTCTGAATGAACAGCCTGCAGTTATCCTGCTTGCAAAGAACAAGGAGGAATCAAAGGAGCTCTGCAGCTTGTCTCTAAGGGTGATTAGGTTGGTACACTCTGTGCTTCTCCATTGCAAGGATCTGAATGGAAGGGGAAAATTCAATTGCTCAGGAATCCGTAGAATCAAAGAAACACAGGAGTGTATGCTGCGTTGCTGGTAGGAACCAAAGCATTTGTAATTCCCCGGAATCCCAAATTTGTTTTACTGTTCTGGGATACCTCTGTAGCAAATCAAGCTAGCAACTTCCATGTAGAGTTTTCCTTGTGAATTGTGTAATGCACACTTGTGTACTTGTTTCTTCACAACTCAGCTGATGCACGATAATGTCTAATGTCCTCATTTCTAAACTCCTTTCATGCTTTGTTTTTTCCCAAAAGGTGGCACCCCTTTCTGTGTGCAATGATTACTGCATCCCCGGCTATCATAAGAGAAAGAAAGAAGGGGAGAAATTTTGCTGCTACGATTGTGTGCCTTGCCCAGAAGGGAAGATTTCAAGGCAGAAGGGTGAGTGACTTACGGCACAGACCTAAGGACACTTTCCTGGGAGTAAGCTTTATTGAACAGACCATAGTAGCATTCAGAGTAGACTGGTTTAGGATTGCTCTCATAATGTGTCAACATTCAATGTCAATTCAAATTATTTGATTGTCTAATGCTGATGGACTGAAAGAAGAATTGTTTGTTTTTCTTTCATCCATGTATCTTTCAGTGCAGCTTGTATCTCAGGAAGGCCAAAGTAATTCCCGATCAAAAACCTAGGTGGAACTTGGTTAGAAAAGGATCTTGGTAATTCAGCACATTCAATAAGTTTTGGAGCTCTATAGCCACCATGTTTTCAAGCAATTTGCACACAAAAAAATAATAATAATAAAAAATAATAATAATAATAATAATAATAATCCTAGACCGGAGTGAGGCTGTGAATGACAGGACGTTCTAAAGTTCATTAAGTTCACCGGGTCACCATAAGCGAGTTGATGGCACATTACGTACAGTCGTGCAAATCACAACAGCCGGAAAAGGAAAGGGGGCAGGAGGAGGAAACCCATAACTTCTCCAGTGTGCAAGATCTTTCCAGACTGGTCATTTTGGAGAGAGTTTCTTGCTTACAACAGGCAATCAAGCCCTGTGACTGTTTTACAAGCCTGCCCACAAGCAGGCGACATGAACTGAAAACATAGGGTATATTCTGGGGGCTGGAGGACAGAGGCTTTGAGGAAGAGGCTCCAAATTTTCAGGGTAGCTTCAGGAGCCTCTCCCCACATAAACTCCCATGTACCAAAGCAATTGGACCTGTGGGCTCCATTCTATGGGCAGCCAGCCAGCAGCACTTAAGGCAGGCAAGCGGGCAGCACCCGGCAGTCAGACTCTCCCCGAGAATCTCAGGGAAAGTGAACTGTCTTGGGAGGTGCTTGTTTGCCATGAAAACAAGTGGAACACTCCAGAACAAGTGGCACTGTGGCAGTGCAAGCATGCCAGAATGCCACACAGAAACCCCAGAAGACCAACAGGAACAACATTTATACAGGCCCTGCCCTGTGTAAATTGATGGTACATCCAGAAGTCCAGGGATGTAGCTGGTCAGGCCAGGGTAGAGTTGGGTAGAGTTGACTCTCTCTCCCCCCTCACAAGCAAGGAAGGGGGTGTGCAAAGCAACACCACCAACCTTTCAGGCAGCACATGCATGCAGCAATTGGCTGAAACTGGCCTCCCCCCCCCATTGGTCTTTTGGATTTTCTGTGTGGCACTGCAACATGCTTGAGATTGAACTGGGTATTAGGAGTACCATCTGTAACATGTACCAGTAGAAGAATTTTAAAATGAAGAATGTTCTTCACATTACTCCTAGATTTAATATATATATATATTAACAAATCCATAACAATTATCATGTCAACTGCCAATGTGAATGTGATTGTTCCTCTTCATCTTTTTTTCAGATATGGATGATTGTGTCAAACGCCCAAGTGATCAATATCCAAACAAGAAGAAAGATGGATGCATTCCCAAGACAATGAACTTCCTATCTTTTGAAGAACCTTTAGGAATTACTTTGCTTTCCATAGCTGTTTCTTTAGTTCTTATCACTACTGTAGTGTTAGGACTTTTCATTAAAAACAAAGACACCCCCATCGTCAGAGCCAACAACCGGGATATCACCTACATACTTCTCGTTTCTCTCCTGCTCAGCTTCTTCTCTTCTTTGCTGTTCCTTGGTCAACCAACAAAGGTCACCTGCATCCTCCGACAACCTGCTTTTAGCATCATCTTCTCAGTGGCTGTTTCTTGTGTGCTGGCTAAAACCATTACTGTGGTTGTAGCATTTATGGCGACCAAACCAGGGTCCAGCATGAGGAAATGGGTGGGGAAAAGACTGACCAACACAGTTGTCCTGTCCTCTTCCCTCATTCAAACAGGCATTTCTGTGGTGTGGTTGGGAACCTCCCCACCATTCCCTGTTTTTGACACACACTCACTGAATGAAGAGATCATAATCGAATGCAATGAGGGGTCTGTCACCATGTTTTATATTGCTCTGGGCTACATGGGACTTCTGTCCCTCATCAGCTTGATCGTGGCTTTCCTAGCCAGGAAGCTGCCCGACAGTTTCAATGAAGCCAAGTTCATCACTTTCAGCATGATGATCTTTTGCAGTGTTTGGGTCTCTTTTGTTCCAACCTATCTGAGCACCAAAGGGAAATATATGGTAGCTGTGGAGGTCTTCTCTATCTTGGTGTCCAGTGCTGGGCTACTAGGCTGTATCTTTTCC